AAAATTCATATGTCGCAGGAACTTGGCATTCCCAGATCGTCGAGATCGTTGACTTTTTTACTTCGCAGGAGAGATCGTCGAATCTAAGGGGGGTTAATTTTACCAGAAAAAATAACGAAATAGATTCAGCATCTGAAACTTATAACCGAGCGGAATTGCTTTGTTAAGTGTGATCTGGTAGTGCTAGAGTAACGCGATTACTAATCATGTAACTTTTTTTTCTGGCAGGTTCTCAGATCTAACGAATGCTAAGTATAAAAATAAGCAAGTTCCCCCTCCTACAAGATAAGTTAGCAATAACGTTATTTTTTGTTCATATATGTTTTTACCTGAGCATAATTTTTTTTAAAAAATAATGTATTTGCCATTTAATACAGTCTGAAACGAATTTTTACTTACTATGATTTTTGTATTTAGGAACGAAAATGAGTAGTAATAAAAAAACTACCCCCAAGATCAACAATAGTAACGTCTCCAAGATCAATGATTGTAACGCCCCCAAAGCTGATGATAATAACGCCCCAAGACCAATGATAATAACACCTCCAAGACTAACAACTCCAATCCAGAAAGCGATCAAAAAAAGCTATCTGGTATAGGTATAATTATCGATTTTCCTTTGCTATGGGATTACTCCCGATAACTTTTGCAAAAGTAGAAAGAATTTATAGCTTTCATGGCTATTGATTTTTATTCGTATTTGTATTATTTAACTACGATGTTTTTGTATGTTGTCATTCCGGCAACTTTTTTTATGAAATAAAGAGGGGGTGCCATGCCCTCGCCAGTTTTTATTTTTACGCGATTTTTATGAAATAAGGAGAGTCATGACATGTGCTATTATTCTACTGACTCTACCTTCCCGCCAATTCTTATGCCGTTTATTGTCAGGGTAAATTTATGATCTAAGAAAAAAGTTAACTTTAATAATTTGGACATGAGACTTGCGAATGGACAGGGTTATGCATATTCAATATATACTGAAAAACAGGTTTTTAAATCTTTTTATGTGGATAGTAGGTACTTCCATCCTAGCTTCGAAGTTTCGCTTGTGTTCTAAGAAATCGTCATTTATCTAATATTTTTTTTCGGCATTTCGAACTTTTGTTGCAAGAGAAGAATAAGAGAATCTATATCTAATTCATTTCTGATAGTATTGAAAGACTCTGCAATTAAACTTTGATTGACATTCTCATTAGATGTATGATTTTGGCGAAGGCCCGTCGTCAAAATACAAAAATATTGAAGCATAAAATATTTTGGATCATGGGAAACAAAAATTATTTTAATAAAGAATTACGTATTTTAGCTCTAAGAATAGATTGATCTTTATTTATTTATATAATAAGGTATTTCATATTTTTTCTAAAAGGTGGATAATACTTGACATGTCTTATATATTAAAACGTACGAAAAAATTCTTTAGCATATATTTATCTCTTCGTGACTTTCGAAGGTGATGGCTTTGTTTGAATAATTTCATTATATTTCCTTTTCAAAATCTGTGCAGAATCAGCATCATATTCTGTTGTCACGTTATTTTTTGTTTCTTCTTTAATGATCATCTATAACAGAATTAATTTAGAATAGGTCAAGATATTCATAAAATTATAAAATGTAACTTACCATAAATTCCAATAACCTTAGTATACCTGATTTCATCTCTGAAATCATATTTGGATTAGAAGCAATGTTTAAACTTCCATATTCTTCATATACATATACTCCATCTTTCCACATTATAAGCATTTTGATTTCGAAGAGATAACCCAATATTCCGAAAACAGACCGATTATTGTAATTCATGTCACCCTTTCCCATGGCCCGTAAAATTCTAACATTTAAACAATCTCTCATTTCTCTATACAATTTAAAAGAATCGGTTGCTAGTTTTGTTAAATCACATTGAGTGGGGGGTCCGGCTTGTTCTCCAACAAAAATTTCTTCACCCGTTTTCCACATCCACGCCAACAAGTCAGCAGATTTTCCATCAACTACTCTGTCTAAGATATGATTATATCCATAATTTTTTCGATACTTCGAGGCCTGTACGGGAACTTCCATGCTAAAATAAAAGTAAATTTAACATAACATAATTTTGAAAACAATATTATGATAGCTTAATTAAACTTAATGCCTACGCCCTCCAATCAAGACCTACAAATTCTTGTAATGCCCTTGAGAAAAAACGATGTCCAAATTCTGACCAATAATGATGCTCACTGCTGTTTGGAGCACTAATATCTGGGACCGGTTTTGAGAATGATTCGATCCTATAAATATAAGATGTTAGGAATAATAGGCAATTAATAGCGAGAAACCTCGAAAAGCACTTACAATGGAAGCATAACTCGATTCAAATATTTTTTTATTTTTATTAGCTCTTTATCCTCCTCTTTTACAACTCCCAACTCTTCTGTAATACGGATCCAGTCTGATATATTTTTTATCGACCCACTTTCGGTCGTTTCCTACATAATAATAGAATCAATAATTACTGCAAATTACGAATACAAACAATAATATAATTACCTTAAAATACTCTTCAATAATATCACGCCAACCTTCTGGCAATTCAACATTCCTCTTTGGTTTTTTTGATAATAATTTTATGTAATCATCAACTGACAAAAATTTAGAAAACCCGCCTTCCCCTCGAATATCCATTACATCATCAATCGTGTAACTATATATTGAGCATCATTAGTTATAGGTTATAAATATGTCCTAAGCAATCCAAATACTTACGAAAATGGATTATTTTGCTGGGATTCTTTATATTTTATAAAATGCGGAATAAATTCTCCAAAGTACTGTTTAATGCAATCTACTGATTATTTATTATATACCTCAAAAAATTAGCATTAAACAAATACCTTGGATTCATCCAGCTTGGCTAAACTCATAGCAGACATTCTTAGTATATTTTCGTCAATTGAAATTTCCGGGTTGTATGTGTTACTGACAATTTGATGAGGGAGGGTTTGAAATCCATCTTTACAACAAATAATAATTCCAAGAGCAGTTTAAATAATAATACCTAAAAGTAAGACAAAAAATGGTGCGTCTTACCGTTTTGCGTATCATTTTTGTTTATCGATTCATAATAATCAGTCCCTGGTGATGGTTCTTCCTGAATGGGTTTTATATTAGGCTCACTTGCGTAATCATTGCTAGTGATTTCGAGATCTTCACGAGTTCGGCCCTCTAACCTATGACTTATATATTCCTGTTCAGATTTATATCGTTCCGTTTCCTCTTGTATAGCAACGCTTCGAATTTCTCGCTAACATGACAGATTAAAATGAAATTATAACTGCTGATATAATATCATAAGTATAACAAGTTAAAGACAAATATACCTTATTTATTCGATCCATGACGGCTAGCGTTGATATCTTTCCATGATTTCCCCATAATAAAGTATTTACAGGATCATTGTTACTATTCTAGAATAAACAGTAAAAGATAGTATTAGAAAACATCATCACAAATAATTTAATTGATTACCCACACATGTTATAATGGAGCAAAAATGCCTAGATTACAACATGCATCCCCATTTCGGGCAACAACACGAGTTGCCTTGTGCGATGAATCGCTCAGAACACGACTGCAGGGTATGGGCAAATGGCAAATGATAATGGTGCTACCGACGCATACTATGGTGGGACCTAAAGAGTCTAGACCATAGTATACTTCTCACTTCAGGCAACAACACGAGTTGCCTTGTGCGAACGAATCGCTCAGAACACGACTGCGGAGCATGGTATATGCACCTATAATAAAAAGAAATGTTGACCTCTAAAGCATTTTTCAAGGTGGTCGCCTTGGCAAAAAGATTACTCCTTCTTGGTATATTTTTAAGGAGGATACCAAGTTCAAGACTTAAGGATCGATGCGCTTCCTCTTTTGTGCATCCAGGATTAGTTTCGATAAAGTATATGTCCCAATCGATCAAACTTCTCCCCGAGTTTGGGTCGCGAATCCAATATGCTAGAAGTGAAAGGTGAAAATATTAAAGGTGCTATGATTATTGAAAGTTTGAGCAGAGGCTGTACCTGTATGACAAAGGTTTAAACTTTCAACTAAAGTGGGAGAATTCGCAGGCTTGGACATTGGATAATTTTTGTCGCGTGTTGAATAAAAAACGTGAAACGTTTTATATGTACAATCAGATCCCAATTTTATCACACCATCGGTTATACAAACCTGTAATAAGTGTTTGTGACCCGTTTACAAACTATATTTCGCCTATTTATTTCACGAGTTTTATCCCCGCCAATTCATTTCTCTTATTGCCAATTTAATATATATCGATATTACAGAAAAAAAGTTAACTTTATTCTGGAGTAGCAATTACGATTTACATGAACTTGTGCGTGGGCAGGGCGTTTATAAAATGCAAGAAAATCTAAATTCGTTACATAATTTTTTTACGAAAAAAATTGTAATATAGATTGTGACCTCGAGGACACAGTATCATGTGATAATGGCGCAGTAATAGCCGATCATTTTGATTTATTTATAATGCTAAGCATTACATGAGTGATATTTTTCTTACTTAACTTAGAAATTGTTAACGCTGTAAAAGATCTGACTCGTACTATTTTATCCTCACCAATGGCATCAAAAAGGTTGTAAATTTTTCGTGCTCGTTCTGTTTTCTTTCTAAGTGCATCATCACTAACCTCTTTGGAAATTTGATTTCTAACTTCGTCATTTACTAGAATTTTGGCAACTTGCTTTTTGTGAAATTTCTTATGGTATTCTAGGCGGTTTGTAAGATTTAATCCAAAATTATAATATCTTTTAATAACTTCTTGGTTCGATTTTCTATTATCATCTTCAGCACTAATAAGTTCTTTATATAAGTTGAGAAAATTAACTGGATCAGGATCATTTTCAGTGGTTGGTATCGTTACCAATTGTGTAGAAATATTATTTTTTGCAGAATTCGGATCTTCAGTAGATAATTCATCTATTAATTTTTTTAAATTTGGAGGCTCTTTTTTTGCACTTTCTTCACGTAATCTTTTTTTATATTTAGGCTCTTTATTTTTGGTAAGGTCTATATAATTTGGATACGTTGTTGGATTATATGATAAGGTAGGGTTAAAAATAAGAGATGTATATGGGGTTACTATATTTTGGTTTTGACTAGATTTCATTTGTGGCGAAATTTGCATTAGGTCCAAGGTACTTTGCTCAGAAGTGCCAGAATGCATATAATCAATAGATTCAATTTCCATTGCACACTTTGGGCATTGCGGAAGATCCTTTACATAATCCTCAAGACAGCTACGGTGAAATATGTGACCACAGATGAGTGCCGTAAATGGTTTTTTAAGTTCATACAAAAAAAGCTCTTCTTTACACCTTGAGCATGGATCTAGTTCTGGAACTTCAACGCCTTTTGCAATAATATCCGGGGAGCCATTCTTAAGAATATTCAATGCGAGAGTTTTGAGACATGAAATATTTTGGGGGTTTGGGTTAGTAGACATATTCAAAGATAAAATTTTGCAGGATTGAAAGAATTAGTATACGTTATAGACAGATAAGTATTTGCAATTAATCATACACTTAGCTCATTCTTATAATAAATACTTTCACAACTAAAAAATTTAATTTGCAGATTTCATAAACTAATTTCGGGTTTGACGATCCGTTCATTCATGAATTATTTAGTATGGGGGGAATCACTCGATCTTTGCTGGCAATCGTGGATAAATAAATTTAGCTTAAGGGTAGACCAAAAGGGTCATTGCTCTGCAATAGGTGCAGTTAGTGAGTTGGTTAGTACCAAAATACTTCTATGCTGATCTCTGATTCGTGGATTTAAAACATATGACATCGCTCCACTGAGGCTTTGCAATGGGCTTTGCCCTATAACGTTATGTGATTTACTTCACTTTGTGGCTATATATAAGATCATCAAGCTCGATAATTAACTTTACCTTTTACTTTACCCTTTCGAATAGAGCGTTTCTTTACTGCTCTAGTCTTATGCGCATGTGTAACTTCTTTTTCCGAACTAGATGTGGAAGAATTACTTAAAACGCTGTCTGAAGTATCTGAATTAGAAGAAGCATCTGTGGAATATTTGATCTTATTTTTCTTACTCTTATTTTTGGAAACATCATCATTTAATCTTCTGGATAGTAGATGTGTAGGAGGTATGTTGCAAAATATTCGTTGCTTATTAGTGCAAAGCAATGACCTTTTGGGTCTATCTCCAATATTTGAGAGAATTTTGTTAATTATATTCATAACCTCCTCTTGAGCTAGACCAGGTTTAG